GGCCCCGCGCCCGGGGGCCCCCCGCCACATCCCCCTTCCATGGTGGAGCAAAGGGTGTGCTGTGACAGAAAGACGCCTGAATGATGACCGTAGCACCGAAGGCAATAGCATTCCCTGAGAGATGTGAACCAGCCTTGTGATTTGGTGGAGTCGGCAGAGACGAATTTAAACTGGAGAAGGAGGTAGATCAGAAAGCTCAACTTCAGCTAGTGATGTGCATCCGACGGGGATCCAGTTCTAATGCTGTGTTCTTCAGTCTTGCAGTTAGCAGAGCTGAGCTGGTTGTTCACACAGACCTTGCTGCAGGGTTGGGACTGGGCAGGGATAAACAGCTGGGAAAGGAGGGCGAGAACTTTGGGCTAGTGGCCAGTTTCTCCTGTGAGATGTTAAACAACTGTTAAGAGGTTGTGGACAGACTTACATCTTTCCATTGTATTAGTTTTGCTTTTGGGTTACATTCCTTTTAACCTGTGGAGACTGTAAGACCCAAGGGAGCAGGGGGCTCAGAAGCAGAGTGGTTTTGTAGGCACTGGCTGATGCTATGGAAGATCTGGATTCAGTCTCTGCTTCTCTGCACCTTTCGTCTGTGATCTTGGCTCAAAGTGATTTGGCTATTTCTGAGCAGTCTTTAGAAACTGAACATGGTGTGCTGCTTCCTTCTAACCTGGTGGCTGTCAGATTGCAGTGGTACAGTCTTTATGTACCCATGCATAAAGAGGGTGCTAGGGAAATGTAACTGATTCATGCTCAAGTCTCCTGTCTGCCTGAAGAGACTTAAACGCATACTGCCTTTATCCCTGCTGAAAGCCATGTCCCCTGTGAGCATGCTACAGGGAATTTGTTTATTATGTGCTGCTGCGGTGCAGCAAAATGTCCAAGAGGAGTTAAGTCAGTGAAAGAGTGCAAATCTCATCTTTTCTCTGTGCCATGCTGTTGCCTAGCACATTCCAGGGAGAAGAAAAGGGCGAAGGAGACAATTAAACACTATTTCCTGCAACCTAAGCAAGTGCTCTGCCCTAGAAAGTAATCACTGCCCCCATGCTGCTTTCTTAGAAGGCAGCAGGCACTACTGGTTATTGCTTACAGTTATTGTTTACAAGTTTCCTTCCAACAGAGCTGCTGTTGGGAAGAAATGTGATAACTGCTATGAGGTGGCCAAGGGAGTAAGAGTTTTACAGTCCTGTAAGGAAGATCTGCTATGGCAAATCTGTTAGCTGCCAGGTAAGCCCCAAAAAAGCAAAGTTTGGGCAGTGAGTGGTTAATGGGTTAGTGCTGTAAGCAGAGCAACTTGATGGCTTTACTGAAGGAAGGCGATTTGCGTCGGAGTAAGATGCGACTGAAATGAACTGACAAATCTGGAATTGAGATCTGTAATTCACCTGTCATTATCCTGCGGGTGAAAAACATCAGTCTTCTCTGTTTGTGCCTGAATCATTGGAGGAAAGCTCAGAAGCGCTGAGTGTGAAGGTCTAAAATGAATTGAGGGTGTGTGCAAAGGGCTGTGGTGGAGAGTGGGTGGGCAGGAGCCCTCTCCTTAAGTCTTCCTATAAATGGCCTAAGAATAAAACAATGAGCAACACTTTTGATTGGTCACTGTTCTGTGGGAATGGCCATGCTCTTAATGTGCTCTCGGATTTCTTTGGCTTTGTGGCTTTATACGTACAGGGAAAATACCCTCCTAGGAACACCAGGTAGCTTTGCCAAATTGAAGTTCAGTTGTGTTAGGCTGGGTGGGGAATGAACATCAAATGAGCTTTTCTTTTCTGTTACAAAATGAAAGGCCAGCTTAACCAACTTCATGCACAGTTGCTGTGAGAGGGCATTGCAAGAGGAGCTGGTTCTGCTGGATGCCAGCCACAAAATCAAGGCAGCTTGTGCAGAGCCAGGACCAGAGGTGACAGAGACCCATTCCTTTCCCACTGCCGATCGCCCTGCTGTGAGGCAGGAGGAGGCATCCCTCTGCCCAGGTGGGGTGCTGCTGCACGGAGACCAGACCTGTGGTCTTGCAGACATTGGGCAGAGTTCATCATCGACCGTGCTGGACGCTCACTGTATGGACAGGAGTGGGACTGCAGATCAGAAGGCGCTGCAGAGCTTGGGGAGTGAGGTTGAAGAGGGGGAGAGCTCATCAGCTGTCCCAGTGGAGGGTAATGGCTGAGCCGCGAAGAGATGCATCCCTGTGTACCTCACTGTGGAGGGTATTACAGGGATGATGTGGCTTCCTTGACCACTGGCTTCAAGAAGAGGATTACTGGTGGTGAGTGACTGCCAAACCTCAGTGAGCAGGGCTTTCAGTGTTGCTTCTGGACTCATGCTGGTGGATTTTTCAGGTGATACCTGTAGGGACAAAGATCCGGAAGCAGGATCTGTAAAACAACAGCAGGGTTGTGGCTGGCAAGGGCTGACCAGCATGGTTAACTACCTAATAGTAGCAGTGTGGGAAAACAGGAATTGGACATTTTAGTGCACACCTTTTACAACCTTTATTCACTTGCTGGAAGGATGGTAGTGATCTCCCAACTCTCCATTGCACTGAAGATGGGAAGAGCTTGCTCAGGAGGGAGAGATGTGGGGACAGGTTGCTTTGTATGCACTGACTGCTTCGTAGTGAAAGTACTGACTGCTTACTCTGGAAAGTAAGAGGAAAATGTGAGGGAAATAATATTATCCTAATAAAGGTCTACTAACAGGCCACAAGACCAAGGACATAGATCCTCTGGCATGATTAGTCCGACTCCCCAGATACCTGGTCAGGCTGGTAGGACACACTGACCAACCAGCTCTAGGAAAACTGTGCCTAACTTATTTTTTAACACAAAGTGAATGAAAAAAAAAATAGTGAGCAGGTTGTCCTGAATTTGTGTCTATCTCCTGGGTTGAAACTGTGACAATGAACAGTATTTTTAACAGCAGTGATGTTAGATCAATACCAGTAGCCAAAGCACCGTAGGTGAAGTACAACCAGCTAGGAGCAAAAGGTGCTCATCTATCTTAATACTCAAGCTATGGAAAAACTGTGGGAAAAATGGATTATGGAGTACTGCATGTTAGATGTTTAAATCACTGGGGCCAGAAAAATTCTCTCCAGAGCATCTGGGGGAATTGGCTGAGGCAATCTCAGGTGCTACCAAATAACCCGGCAGCATGTATGGGGCTGATGCCATACTGGAAGGCTGGAAAAGGTGAAATGTTGTCTTGAGTATGCACTGCAGTGGATCAACCAACTTGCACATCAGTTGATTCAACGCAAGGCTCTAGAAGACACTGGAGTAAGTAATCAAACTCCTGTTAAGGTGTAAGATGGGCTGGTGATTGGGTGCAGCTGAAAGGGATCTACTGAGACTGATTCATGTCAAACTAATGTAATTTTTGGCATGGACTGACATCACAGTATCATGAACAAGCAAGGAATATAGTCAAAATGGACATGATGGCTTGTGAACCCTTATTGCGAAGAGCAGCTCTTGATGAATAATTGTCATCTGGAAGGATCTAAAAGCGGGGCTGTACAAAGGACTGGTCTGGGTCTAGGGCTTGACAATATTTCCACGAAGGGCTTTTTGAAGAAAGCATGTGTCACCTGTCCAGGGCTGGCTGGCTGGCTTGCTGATACCTCCGGCAAGAGGAATGGGATTTGCTCACCAGCTCTTGAGATCATTTTGAAACAGGTTGTGATCAAGTAGGGAAAAGTGTCCCTGAGCGAAGTGCTTTGCAGTCAGCTGCCTGGCTGTAGAGCAGCTCTTGGGAAAGAAATGTGGTGATGGATCGGAAATTTGTCAGCTGTATAGCAAACTTGCAGCAACCAAAGCAGAAGAAGCCAACTGCAAATGCAGTCCTCGGATGTCTGAAGAACTGTGCTATCCACCATGTACGTGGAACGCTCCTTTAGTTTTTCTTGGCACTGGTAAAGCTTGTGTGATGTCCAGCTTTTGCCATTGACTTTTGAGAAAACAAGCTGTGGACCATTAGAGTGGGAACAAGGAGAACAATCACAGGGCTAGAAGACATGACCCAGGAAGAAAGAGACCTCACCACCCTCTCATCAGTAACGGTCTAACTGCAACTGCTAACTCGGTAAGCCAATATAAATGAAACGCTGCTTGGTACAGTCCACTGACTACTTATGGCTCCCTTGGCCATAATTTAGTAACTACTGATCTAGAGAAGGTGAGAGGGAAATGTATTAATAGTGTTTTGCTGCAAAGAGGACAGGGACTTCACCAAGGGAGCTTTGGGTTGGATTGGGACAGAACTAGGTGCTGGGAAGGGCAAGGCATTGGTGGCAGTTGGAGGCGCTGGGGCCAGGCTGGTGAATCAGCTGCCAGGGTTAGCTGGGATGCAGTTGATCCTGCTCAACGGTTGGGCTTGATGACTTTTTGACATCTTGAGGACTCTGTTTTCAGATATTTCATGCCGTGCTGCAGCTGGAATATGGATGCAGGCATGTGCTAGGTGACAAGGAACATCCCTGCTTTCCTTCCTCTGCTTGTGTTTCAGGTCACCTTCTACGAAGACAAGAATTTCCTAGGCCGTTGCTACGAGTGCGACAGTGACTGCCCCGATTTTCACACCTACCTGAGCCGCTGCAACTCCATCCGGGTGGATGGAGGCACCTGGGTGGCCTATGAGAGGCCGAACTTTTCTGGAAACATGTACGTTCTGATGCGTGGGGAGTATCCTGACTATCACCACTGGATGGGCCTCAATGACCGCCTCGGCTCCTGCAAAGCCGTCCAGATAGTAAGTGTGACCTCTTCCCAAGGGACAGTTTAATTTACACACCTATCATTAAAGGGTTTCAGCATGCTTGTGGGTGGCCCCCATCTTCCTGGGGACCCGTGGGAGCTCCCTTGGAGAGGATGGCTATAGGGGGTTTGTTCCCGCAGTCCTGCTCTGGGAATGGCAAGGTGTCTGGTGAGTGGAGAAGGTAAATCTCTTCCACTCTTGACTGCAGTGGGGAAAAAGCAGATCCCTTTGAGTGCTTTGCAGGTGAGTTTCCATAGGAACAGCAGTGGAGTTTTTTCTGCATGTTCCTCTAGGGACTTCAGTGTCTGGGCAGGTCACTCAGAGGTTTACCTCTCGCCTTCCCTGCTGGTGTGCTGCCAACTGATCCAAGTCTGATGGTGGGCGCAAGGCTTGTAACAGTGGGATGTAGACTTTGCAGGAGCGCTCAGAATGGGGGGCAGTTTGTTTGCCTCTCTAGCAAGCCAGGGCTGCCTTCTGATACAGGGAACCGAATCTCAGTATCACCAAACCCTTCTGGGCATGGGGAGAACAGCCCCAGGAGCAGACCTGGAGTGGGAGGGATGCCTGAAGCCCTCCTTGGGCATGCTTGGAGCAGCCCGGTGTCTCCTGGTATTAGGAGAGCACAAGGCAATGCGTGTCTCCCCTCTGCAGCACAGGAACTGTGCTCATCCGCTCCTAACTGATGATGGGGAGATGCTTCTGCAGCCTCCGGCAGCACCCATCCTTCCACCGGCAGGAGACAGGATAAATGTAGGTTGACAGTGAGCAGTGTTTACACCCCATGCAAGCGCTGGCTGGGGAGAAAGGAACAGAGGGAACAATCCCTTGGGGATCGTTTCCCTCCCATAAGGGGAGAAGCACCTTTTAAAACTGGTAGGGATGGGAGCATGGAGGGAGTGTGGATTGGGGTTGAGATGCTGAATGCTGCCAGCAGTGGGGCAGACATTGGTGATCTGTGCATCACTGACTTGAGTAGCACAGCCATGGATTCCCATTGTGTGGAGCAGGTCTCACAGCTGAGAAGGGGTTTTGCTTTTATGTCTGGAGGTCTAATGCCACTTTGAGCCTGTTTTGGGTTTGAGCTAGGTCTAAATCCCTTTGCATAGGGCAGGGAGAGTTTCCAGCCAGTTCAGAGCACTGATCTGGCATAAGGGATGGAGCCAAAACCCATGGGAGATATAACAGCAACATAGCTTCCTCCATCGGGATGAAATGCGGAGGCCTTATCCTGCAGGTCCACCTGGTCCCTGGCTTCCACTCCTGCGCCTGGGGAGGCTGCACTGGGGACCTGCCGCTTGCAGGCATTAGGTCAGAGTGCCCTGGAGAAGCCGCAGTGGCAGCGCACAGATCTGAGAGACCCCACGGAGCTCGTCTGGGGCTGGCAACAAGAGTGGGCTTGGGCGGACAGGGGAGGCGGGGGAAGATGGTGTCCAGGCAGCTGCAGATTAAAACTGCCGCAGTGCCTTCAGGCAACGCAGCGCTTCAAATCACAGTAGAAAATACCCATGCTGCGTTTGCCTCTAATAAAACCCAGCTGGGGTCACCAGCTCATTAAACTCCTCATTGCCTGGAGGAACGGGGAGTGGAGGGGGTCCATCTCTCCTTCTGATGCTCACACAGAGTGGCTGAAGGGTTCAAGCCAGCAGCGGGACAGGCAGGCTGCCTGGGATAGAGAGCCCAGCACTTGCTGACGTGGTCTCATCCTTCCCTGCACCCTTCCTCCCTGCAAAACTGGGGCTGCGGTGGGGGTTTGAGCTGAAACTGCTCTGCACCAGCTCGGTGCTTTTGTGCCCTCTTTGCACGTGATGCTCAGTCAAGAGTTACCCCAGCTGCCTCCCCACTGTGCTTTTGGGGGCTGACGTGAGCTGTTCTGCCCTGTCCTGGTGTGCTGAGGGGGTGATTTGTACCGGATTCGAGTCTGACTGTGCCTTAGCTCTGCTCCCATCCGCTGGTGACTGTCAGAGCCAGGGACGTGTCAGTGCCTCCCTCCAGCACTCTGCCATTTTCTCTCCCCTTTTTCTAGCCAAGTGGAGGCCGGGGCCACATCCAGGTATTTGAGAAGGGAGATTTTGGCGGGCAGATGTTTGAAGCCACCGAAGACTGCCCTTCCATCATGGAGGAGTGGCACATGCGCGAAGTCCACGCCTGCAGAGTGCTGGAGGGCGTCTGGGTTTTCTACGAGCATCCCAACTACCGGGGCAGGCAGTACCTGCTGCCCAAGGGGGAGTACCGCAAACCCGTGGAGTGGGGAGCTGCGAGCCCCACTGTCCAGTCCTTCCGCAGCATCACTGAGTGAGGCAGCCCATTGACTGGGCTGCTGGAGGCCGTAAATAAAGCAACTGAGTCACTCAGCTTAGCCTGTCCTGCTTATTCCCGGGGTCTGTGTGTGAGTTATCCTGCCCTGGGGGAGCCAGCGTGGAGCTGAGCCTTCTCTAAGCAAAACACCCTCTGCCAGCCTCAACTGCCTTCATCTCCGCTGTCATCTCCTTCCTCCAGGCTAACCCCATCCCCTCCCCTCCATCCCACTGCTCCTCTCCAGGGAAGAGCCATCCCAAAGCCGGAGCTTGCGCTCCAGCATTCGGCCAGTTCAGTGGAGCAGTGGGACCACCCGTTCCCAGGACTCCAGTTTTTGGTGCTGGCTGTGGGTGGCTCAGTCTGTCATTACCCTGTGGAGTCCCCGCTTGCTGTGTTGCTGCTTCGTGGTGGCTCGGGAGAAGGGGCTGCTGGTGGCTGGGGAGAAGGGATGAGGTTTGTATCCATGCCACATGCAGCGAGACCGCCCTGGGGAGCCTGAGCAGGCAGCAGATGTCCTGTTATTGGAGGAGCATGTCCCTCTCATGATGCACAGGGCAACGGGACCCAGGGGAAAGTGGAGGTGAGAGGCAGGGATTCCCAGAGTGGGCAGGAGGGAGGTGGCCGCAATCTCCATGGGGGATGCTGGGGACCCTGGCAGCCCAGTGTGTCAGGTACAGGATGCCCCTTGTAGGTGTGAGACAAGCGGGCTGGCTGCTTAAGATGTGGCTAAGCACCACAACAAGCAGGGCAGCTGGAAGGGGAAGAAGAGGCTGGACGTGGACAGAGATGGTGAGTGCCTCTGAAAGCTGCCCGGGGATGGGAGGTTGCTGCTGAACGATCTCATAGGGCAGGAAGAGATCCCTGGGCACCTGAGACGTGCAGGGAGCAGAGGGGGCTGTTGGGCTCCCCAGGGCTCCCAGTCAGCCCAGTTTGCCACCAGCTGGAGCACCCCATTTTGGCCAGTGCCGCTAGATGTCAGGCTGGGCCTGTGCCGCAGCTGTGCAGGAATAACTGATGTCCACTGCACAGGGCACTCTCCTTCTGGGCACCCCTGGGACCTGCAGCCTGTTTGCATATCAAGCCAAGGGGCCTTGGGATAATGACGCTGGATGTGGAAGCAGAGGCCTTCTAGCCATGCTCCGCGGTCTCTTCCCGGTTGATGTATGAGGTTATTACAGAGCAGGGAGGCAGGTTAAGTGATGCTCGTAAAGCCACGGTGCCGCGACCCCCGGGGAATGCAGCTGCCGGTGGGGAGTGGGAAGGGGCTGCCGAGAGGGGCAGCTCTGGCCCTGCAGGCTTCCCCCAGCACAAAGGTGGGCTGAAGAGAGTTGCCTTCCTCCTCCTCCTCCTCCGCCTGCTGTGACCCTGCAGTTCACCCCCCCCAACCTTAGCCCCCTGCCCTATTTCGGCCCTTTGCTGCAAAGGGTGATGCATCTTTTTGACCAACTTCTGTCCTGCCTTTCCTTTCTCCTCCATCACCTCTCCATCACGGGTCAGCAGGATGCAGATGATTCAGCATTACGGTTGGGTCTTGGTGCTTTTTTCCCCAAAATATTTTTCCAGGACCAATCAATCAGCCCTGCCAGCACTCAGCTCCAGCTCCCCTTTTCCCCCGGCACCTGGAAAAAGCTCTCCCAGTGCCTCTGAGGGCTGCTGGCTCCTGCCTGTGCAAGGTACCAGCTCAAGCGTGGCCTGGCTGCCATTTTTTGCAGGGAGCCTGTTGCCATCCCCGTTTTGGAAGGAAAATCTCCTGCAGCCAGGCGTACTCTGGCCAGTGCATTTCCAACCATCTCCCACCCTGATTTTGGGGAATGTCTGCCTGCGCAGTGTGCTTCCCCATCCTATGTCCCCTGTGGTGGGATTTGTCCCACCCTGCAGCGGTGCCAGAGCCGCAGTGGGCAGGTTTGGGGTGCTACAGCCCCGTGGCTGCTGGCGTACGTCCACCCTGGAGCATCGGAGGAACCAGACCTGGTTCTGGTTTGCCCTTACAGTAACATTTCCTCCCCGTGTCCTTCCCTTACATCGCTTGATCTACCCACTGCGAAAATGCAATTATCCCAACTCTTTTCCCCCCCTCCTCCTCTGTCTGGCTCTTGCCCTCTGGTGAATTTTGCATTGTGCCCTGAACGTTGGCAACCAACGCGAATAACAATAAAATATGCTAGTTGGGTTGGGTTTTTTTTTATTTTTTATTTTATTATTATTCTAGATTACTTTTTCCATCGGGGGCTCCCTTGTCACGGCTGCACGCAGAGCAGAGTGCATATGGATATGAGCGGCGGCGAGAGCGAGCGGGGAGTGCAGGCAATCCAAACCCAGCCTGCTGATGCTGTTTTTTGCTTGACAGCTAATTTCCATTTTTCAGTATCAGGGGGTCTGCTCCAGTAATTGGCATGCAGATTGTGTCTGATGGGCCTGTTAGACACGAGAAAAGACTCTGCTAGTTAGAATAAGCCAACCCCAGGCTGATGGATGGGGCGTAAGGAGGTCATTGCAAGAGAGAATATACAGATGCCAGTGCGCACGCACACACCTACGAAATTTCACATTTCGTGCCCTCCCCCCACTCCTACTTTCTTTATCCGGCAAACTCTAATCTATCATATTTCATTGAGACAAATCCTGCTCCATTTCTCTCTCTTTCCTTTTTCCCTTTAAGGGAAATGTGATGGAACCTACTCCTGGATTTAATAAGAAGATGGTGCAGCGTAGCAGGAATTAAAGCGGTGCCATGCTTCATTAGCAGCTGGGGATCACACGGAGCTGGCCCAGATGTTAATTACACTTTGGGAATTAATTGGTATAAGGCGTTCCTCTCCTCCATCATCTGTAATCTGGCGGGTGTGCAAGGACTTCTGGAAGCAGAGACTGCTGGGCGGGCGTCTGTCTCCCCTCCTCAGCCCATCCGGCACTGGCCGTGACTGAGGGGCACAGGCTGCCTTCGGAATTTTGAAGCCACCTTCATTTCCATCCCCTTGGTGTCTAAAGACCCGCTGTTATTTTTCCCTCTTTTCCTCCCTGTGCCACTCTTCTCCAAAATATCTCTCCAGCTGCTGGGGAGAAGCAGGTCCAGGTGGGACTGGGGAACAGTGGGAGGTGGCACTACTTTGAAGGAGGAAAGACTGTCTCCCTCGAAGCTGGCTGTCCTCAGGGGACGCCAGGTTACCCTCTATGAGGGCGGGTGGGATGGTAGCTTCCCTTTCTCCTGCTCCCCATCCCATCCTTGCTGGCCCATCCCTTCCCTCCATCCCTGGGTGCAGACCTGCACCATTCCCCGTGCTGTACAGGAGAGCCTCAGTCTGCCACTGCAGCATCTCTCTGCTGCTGAAATCCCCCCCAGTTCTCAAAGGAAACTGGTCTCCAGTTTCTTCCCTCCTTTTTCCACGTTGGATTCAACCCAATGAGATGCAAAAGCTGCTAAAAAGCTGGGTGGGGGGGCTTTTTGCCAGAGGACAGAAATGATATGCTTGGAAATGAAGAATATTCTTCTGAATGCTGCCAATTTGTTCCTTTTCTGAGCTGGCTGGTGGCAGCCCAGCATGGGGCACGGTTATCTCTGCAACAGAGCATCACATCTTTGGGTTTCTGCCTGTGCTCGGAGGGATTGCTGCACAGCCCCAGTGGGACACTTGCGTTCAGCTTTGCCCCCCCAGAATTGATCCCAGACCCTAATAGTGTGAGCTTGCTGGCACCACAGCCATGGCAGGGGCTTGGCCGGAGCTCTCACCATGGCAGATGTGACAAGATGAGCCCATGCTCCATGTTTGCCCTCCTCTGCTAGGCTTTCCAGCAGTGATGCTCCCAGGTTGCAGCAGAAATCTTTCTTGCTGCTTCCTGCTGGCACGGCCTGAGTTTTTGTGCTGCCCACAGTGGTCGTCAGGGTTTTGTGGGTCTTGGTGTTGCTGATGCTCTTCAGTCTTGAGGCATCAGCCAACTTGATGCAGGCCCCTTTCCCTGACCAGCAAAGGTCATTAATGTCACTTCAGTGCAACACTTCACTGCCTTTTGGTTCCTTTGGAGCCCTTCTCGCTGAAACCAAAGGCTCTGTAGGTTCAGCCACTTCCTTGGACCATACCTGGGCAGTCTCTGAAGGTACTTGCTGGTGATTACGGCACATGCTTCAGTTTTGCCAGTGTGGCCCTTCCAGACATTCTCTTTTCCTCTGTTTTATGTGTGAACCACCCTACGCATCCCCTGTTGACATTGGCTGAAATGCAAAGGTTGCATGGAGCAAAGACTTTCAGGAGGAGATGGTCAAGACCAGCTCTGTCCATCCTGCTTTGAGCTTGTGGGTAAAGTCCGTCCCAGCTCAGGGTGCACAGAGCTTTCAAGCTGTGCACAAGTAGATGCAATAGCAGAGCCAAGCTGCTTCATATCTCACACATATCTGTGTACTCATATGTACACCCTGGAGACCCCTGTGGTGTCTGCGCATGGTTGCACATGTCCTCTTGGCCAGATGTGCTGGCCATGTGCTGAGTTGGCAGTGCCCACGAGCAGGCGTGCAGTGCTGTGGGTGAGAGCTGCCTCTCTGGGACATGCGAGTGGTGATGGGGGATCACTGCTGCGGGGAGGCACTGGCACCCCAACCTGGGGCTCTGCAGCTCCCCTGAAATTACAGAGGGAGACGGAGAGGAGAAGGCACTGCCCAGGGGATCAGCCTTCCCTTTGACAGTCCCCAGCAGAGGGCAATAGAAGCAAATGGAAGAGAAGACCTTGCAAGTGATGTGCAAGAGGAACAGTTTTCAAGCCAGAGCGACCTGCAAGCAGAGCGATGTGCAAACGGGAGCGATGTACAAACGGGAGCGATGTGCAAGAGGGGAGGCTTAAGAAGGAGGTCAAAGCAAAACAGCGCAATTCAAGGATATTTTGGTAGGAGTTAAAGCAAAACAATGCTTTCAGAAATCCAAAACTATTAGCTTTGGGTTTGGATGGAGAAGGAAGAGGAGATGTTTAACCCTTTTGTTTAAACTTTCTTGATTTTAGGTCAGTTTTTAAGTGAAAAGTGCTGCCGTGAAGAGCATGGCTGAGGGTGGTAGAAGGAAAGGCTCTG